CTCTGAAATACACGCTTTCTCATTGGCTATGTCCACGCATAGGCGTGCTTTACTCCACGTGGACCGGTGAAACTGCCTTTGATCTTATACGGGGGATATTTGCTGCGAAATTTGGCGATTTTTGCAGCAACAGAGCGTGTTAAATATAGATATATAAAACGCACCCGGTATTTCACAGTGTTTCAACGGATTTCAGATAAAGTATACTTAAGTGGATGAAAATGGATGATTTGGTAGGATGTCATTGCTTAAATTTCACGCATAAACTATTGCTAACATCGAAGCCTCGATACCTTATAGAAAAAAAATTCCTTTAATAAGGATATATATTCATGGCAAAAGTCTAAGAAACAAAAATATTAATATACTACAACATAAAAATAAGTAAAGTATTATCCTCAACCTCAATCTTTCAAGCCGTACGCTAAACAATAAATTTTCAAACGCAAAATCCTAATATGATGTTGATGAAGCCATTGATTTTTTTGATAATGCTCTCTCTTTTCTGGTACCCAACTTTGATTATGTTGTAGTTGTTGGAGATATGAATAAGTATAAATCTTTTAAGTTCAGACAACAAATTAGAAAATTGTTTTAATGCGTATGGATTCCATCAAGTTATTATAGAACCCTCTAGACTAACTAGTACTTCGAGCAGCCTACTGGATCCCATATTTATCAATGATCTTCAAGTTTGTTCAAATTCTGGGACTATAAATATGGATTTATTTACCGATCATTTTTTAGTATTTTGTGAAACAACTTTGCAGTCTAAAAAACCTGAGCAAAGATTCGTTAAATTCAGAGACTTTAAAAATTTTGATGTTTTATCATTTCAAAATGATATTTTTAACTTTCCCTGGAGCATTATATATATATATACATTCCGTAGAGTATTGATCACAAAATTTCATATTTGACAGATGTGCTAAAATTAATTTTTGATAAGCATGCACCTCTAAGAATTGTACGTGTAAATAAACCGCATGCACCCTGGCTGTCATCAAAGCTTAAACGTATGATGAAAGACAGAGACAGCTTTAAATCAGTTTAAAATTAATAAGACAGAAGATTCCTGGAATCGCTACAAAGAGCTCAGAAATTCAACTTTGAGACAAATTAGATATGGAAAAACAGCATATTTATTATTCCTCCATCAACAAAATGATTCAAAAATGTTTTATAGATCCTTGAAATCAATGCGTATCCAACAGTCACAAAATACCGATATTCCTCTACATTTAAAGAATCCTACTGACATTAACAAATATTTCTGTTCCATTTTTATTAACGCCATTTGTTCATGCACAGAGAAGATTGAGCATTATGAAAAGAATCACTATTCTAGTGATCGATTCAAGTTTAAACCAATCGATATGACTGATTTAAAATCTGAAATTGAATGCCTTAGTAAGCGATGGCGTGTCACTCGAAATGCTAAAACTATGCTTCTTTACGATTTCAGGTAACATTTTACACATCATAAATACCTGTTTAGAAAGGGGATTCTTCCCAGAATCATGAAAAGAAGCATTAGTGTTACCTCTAGCTAAAATAAGTGAGCCAAAATTATATTCTGATTTAAGACCAATTAGTATTGTACCTGTTTTGTCCAAATTATTAGAAAAAGCAATGTACGCCCAAATTTACTCTAAACATAAAATTTTGCCTCCCAAACAATGCGGTTATCGAAAATGATATAACACTGCAGATGCCCTATTAGACTTAACCGATAACATTGTTAGAGCCTGGGATCAACATATGATCACATCATTAGTTCTTCTTGACTTCTCTAAGGCATTCGATACCATAAATCATCGTCTTCTAGTGGCCAAGTGCAAATATTTTGGTTTTTCTGACTCTGCCTCAAAAATGATTCAGAGCTTCTTTGGAAATCGATATCAAAGGGTACACATTGACATGGTTGTATCTTCAAAGTGCCTCATTTCCTCCGGAGTGCCTCAAGGGTCACTACTTGGGCCACTCCTATTCATTTTGTATATTTATGATCTCCATTCAGTTGTTAAATATTGTAATATCCAATTCTTTGCCGACGATTCACAGATCTACAGTCATTTCCATAATCACGACATTCGAAATGCTGAATCTGAGGTAAATGAAGATATAACATCTATTAGAATGTATGCAAAAAATCATAACTTTGAGTTGAACCCTTTAAAATCGAAAGTCATCATTTTTCACCAAAACTATTTAGGTAGTGATGCCAAAAGAAATTTTAAATTAAAATTAAATGGTGAGACTATAGAAGTAAGCGAGTCAGTAAAAAACTTGGGCGTAACTTTAGATGAATGTCAAAATTTTATACCACATGTAAATAATATCAGTAAGAGTTGTTTTTCAATTTTACGTCAATGATACCTTAATAAACAATTTCTTGACTTTACAACTAGAAAAATTTTGTGTGAATCTTTAGTAATATCCAAAATTAGTTATTGCTATACTAAGTGACATATAAATCCGAACACCCAGTTTAAATGGTTTTATTTTAATAAAATTTTGTATAAGTACTTAATGAAGCATAATAAGTAAATGATAAAAATTTCAAAATGATTGCACTGCTTTAAAGCCCTTTGACCTTTAATAATGTGTGGATGCACCCTACGCATACTCCAACGCGCCTAGGCATGCTTCTGATCAGGTGGTCAATGTCCTCCTGTGGTATCTCATTCCAGGCAACCACCAACTCCTCTCGAAGTGCTTCTAGAGTCTGAGGAGGACGTTGCAAATTGAGCAATCTCCTACCCATCATATCCCACACGTGCTCAATTGGGGATAAGTCGGGAGATCTTGGTGGCCATGGTAACAATGTGACATCATTATGATGAAAGAAGTCTATTGTGACTCTTGCAACATGTGGTCGGGCATTATCTTGTTGGAAAGTTGGATCTGCCAGGGAGTCAAGATAGGGTAAAAGATGGGGTTCTAGAACTTCGTGGATATAACGCTGCGCGTTCATGTTACCTCTGATGAAGATTAAAGGTGACTTAGAGCCATAAGCTTAGCACCCCAAACCATAACTCCAACAGTGTGATGAACATGTCTTTCAACAAAAAACTGTGGATTCCTCCTTTCACCACGTCGCCTTCTAACCCTGGCACGACCATCGTGCATGCCTAAACAAAATCGAGACTTGTCATTAAAGACAATACTGTTCCATTCCTGATACCAGAGTGACCGTTGTCTGCACCACTCAAGGCGATTACGTCGGTGTTCTCGAGTTAAACGGAGGACCCAGTGTGGCCGGTATGAAAACAAGCCAAAACTTCTCATTCGTCGGTAAACACTTCGCATGCCAATAGGTCTTCCGTGTTCTGCAAACCATTCATTTGCAATGGACCTGGTAGTGGAGAAACGGTCCCTTAAGGCCAATAATCTTAGGCGGCGATCTTCACGGTCTGTTGTTCTACGGCGGCGTCCAGTGCCCCTTGCTTTTTGCGTACGGCCTTCTCGAAGCCATGCCTGACAACACCTAACCACAGTGTCTACACTTCTTTGCACTCTAACTGCAATTGCCCGAAAAGAAAGTCCAGCTTCCCGAAGTCCCACTATACGGCCCCTATCAAAGTCACTAAGTTGACGAAATCGTACAGGTCTCCGTACTCTAGGCATCGTAACCGATCGTAAAGGATGTCAAGAACCAAAATCCGCCAACGTTGATTCTTTACTGCAGCTGAAATATTCATTTTTAGAGCGTTAGTGAATTAAAAAAAAGCAGTATAAAAACCGGAATGTCCAACTGATAAGGCTGAAAATTTTTTCACTTGTTATTTACAGTAAGATAAATAGGTTCACCAACTTTTATTAAAATAAAACCATTTAAACTGGGTGTTCGGATTTATATGTCACTTAGTATATTATGTGACTTGCAGCGTCCACTTACCTGTAATAACAAGAAAGTTGCGACTTTTTGAATAACGTTAAGTCGCAATACCAGAAAAATAATTTTAACGCAATTATCTCAAAACTACTTATTCGAAGTCTGGCTCTGAGGTTCAGAACTACAACATCGGGAATAAACCTTTTGAAATTAAAAAATAATAAATTATATTACGACTCCTATGAGACAACTAAGACTTTTAATTGTCTTCAGAAGCTTCAGCTATTGATGACTCAACAAAGGAAAAAATAGTGGCAAGTAGATTGACTCCAAAATTGAATATTTCCATAAATCAATAATGAGCATTGCTAAAATTGTTGAGCTCCATCATAACGTTTTTGGCCACGCTGTAACCTGAAGTAATCAGAAATGATGGTAGCAAATTTACGAAATTATGTAAAATTGTAAGATTTCAAAAAAAGTTTCATCATTCTTAAAAATGTTCAGGTCGTAAAGCATACAATAACAAACTTTTGGACAATCTGATACTGTTTCATTTTTCATTACCATTTGAACAATTTTCAAAAATGAAGCAGCATTATCTACTATGAGACCAGACATGACGCTCCCTAACGTTTATCAAAATCAGTGTATGGCTTGTTTCCGAGATTACTAGAGAAAAATAACGGCAACACACAGGCGGGCCGATAGACAGACCGATGGGAATAATTAGTATGGATTTACGTATTCACAAAACATACGTTTATTTAAAATTCTAAGGTGAAAGAAACACGTATATTTGTTATTTGCACATCTTGTAACATTAGTTGTAAAAATCAATACTTATTTAATGTATCTACTTATTCATATTGTTTAATGCAAGCGTTTTTCTTTCTTTTGTACAAAATCTTTATCTCGATTTTTATACTCCATTTAGGATTCGCCCACAATTGTGTGGAGCCATAGACAAACTTCGATACGGCGCCCCTCAAGAGGCCTACGTTACTGTATAAGCTTTGACTTTTACTGCTAATGTCGGATACGAGTAGTAGTTCATACAGTTTTTATTTTATAAGGAATAACCAAAAGACTGTTCAGGATTTTTTTTAAATAAATACTCTTTCCGAAATTTATTTTTCCGGTTTTTATTATTTTGACTTACCTGACAAAATAGCAATTTTTATTTCATCTTGACACGAGTTGATAGCCTCTTCTATTCTTTTAGGTGCCGAAGGAGGGATATCACATTTGTTACTGGTAATATTTTGCTAAAAAAAAATACGAACACATAAGCATTCTGAATATCCCAAGAGCGTTTAAGGACTTTGCCCAAATATGGTCAAGGTTTACGTTGACAGTTTGAAATATGAATTTTTTAAAAACTTTAAAACTGTTTTGAAACACAATCTTCAAATTACATGAAAATATTTTTCAAATATACCTAATAATAGTAGTCGATAATCGAAATCACAAAATCCAATTTCAGAAAGTTGGTATTAGCTTTGATATCTATTGGCAACTTGTTGAACAATCTGACTGCGATTAAAACCTGTCCTTTTATTTTCAGTGATCAGAAGTACGTAATACTCAAAAAATACGTAGCTTGCCAGCTTAAAATACTTTCGACTTCAAATATACAGGGTGTATCAGTTTATTGTTGCATAACTTTAAGATTCGATAGAACTTTTAAAATTAATGCATAAAGTCTATATAAACATGGGTCGAAAAATGCGTGGCTTCCGAAATATAGGGTGTTTAAATTTACTTGCTAAAATAGTTTTTTTTTTTAATATTTCGAAGAATATTAGATGTATAACAGTGAAAATTGATATACAAGAGTTTTTTGGTACGACAAAACGAACCATGGGCATAGTTTTACTGTAGCCGCTAGAGGGCGCTCTCTACTGTAGCTGTAGTGTATTAAAATGACCGAAAAAATTTTCTTAGTGCAATATTTTGCTTTTTGAATAAAAAAACTGATTCTTCGCACTTTTCAACATAAAAAAGCTCTCTTGTGAATTTTCGTTATAGTTAGCCGTTTTTGAGATATTTCGATTTTTAAGGTTCAATGCATTTTTAATTACTTATAATAAAATAACGTTAAAAAGTCAGTATCTCGATAATTTTTAGAAGTAGGCTGTGCCTGCAAATATTTGTGAAACTGAAGGCAGAATAAGGTTAAACGTCAATTAGTTGACAGTTAGTTTTGTTGTCTGTTGAAACCTGAAACGTTTTTTTGCAATTGTGAATGCACGAAATTTAGTTTCTTTTACCTGTTTTTTTTTGTAAGTTTTATAAAAATGCCATTTTTATTCTCCAATCAAGAGTTAGCGGATATTCATTTTGTGTATGGCTTTGTAAATGGAAACGCAGCAGAAGCAGCCAGAGAATACGCACGAAGATTTTCAAACAGACGACATCCAACTCGCTCAGTATTTGTAAGAGTGCATCGCCAAATAATTGAAAATGGTTTTGGAAATCTACATAAAAATCTAAGTAAAAATACATATAAGTTCCAGAATGAATACTTTTACCAGATTCCCAGTTAACAAATATTTTGAAAATAAATAGAAGACAAATCTTCGCCATAAGTTATTCACATCTAGGGCGCAGCTGTTCTTACCTTAGCTTCACCACTTTCCACGAGCAGTACCAAACCCAGTACGACTACGATGCCCAAGTAGTATCCCATCTTCGCCGTACCCACTTTTGGTGCAACCTCACACGTCGATCTCAAACAATAAATTTCGCAGAATTCTCACTTTTTTCTCTGGAAATTTCAATATTCCCACTCTCTTTTGTCGGTACTCGCCATCGTCCAATGGTAGAACCGCTTGTTTCACTTCATTAACTGCAAACTTTCCCCCTTATGGAAGTGCAGAATAAGAACCGGGTCGATATGTGAACGTTCGCATATAGTGGGAAATAGATTAATGTAGAATAGTAGGAAGTATGACATAACATGCGGGTCTACCGATATTGAAAAAAAGGATTAAGAATGGCGTTTAAATGCATCATGTATAGAGAATCTATTTATACTGTTAACAACAGTAGTATACGATATACTTTCTGCTGTTAAACAAAAATAAAGTATACAAAATACTATTTTTAGCATCACAGATAAGTATTATTATAGTAATCTTAGGGGAGGGTATATCTGAATTTGTTGACGTTAATATATGTATACCGTTCTAATCCCGGTAGTTCTAAGCATTCCTCTGAATATTTTCCTTCAATACTTACAATAAGCGAAACATTTCCAGCTTCAAGCGCAACGAAAATAGGACTTAAGCCTGTCGCGAGTTAACCGCTGCCCTGGCGATTTGTTCATGTACACATTGTAGACCCGCCGACGAGATCCGCCGGGTGGTACCTCCGCGTTCGACAGTCAGAGGCCGTCTACCACCTACGGACAATCACAACATGCATAGTCAAGAGAAAAATTTCCCTTAGGACAGGATTCGAACCCGCGCTGCGCACGGCGACTGATCTGGAGACCGACGAGTCTACCACTGCGGCCACTGCTGCTGTCTGATCGCGACGTTGTCAAATGAATGAAGACTGGAGCTAATTGTGTTGGCCTATTTGGCTGAATTAATTCCTTATACATGTTCGTAATGGACTTAGGAGGAGATAACTTGTGCGAAACATAATATTTTATAACCGGATGACTGCGGTTTGGGGAAGTACAGAATCAACCTATATGATGTCATTTTTTTAGTATCCGTAAGGCCCGACTTTCAGTTAGATTGGGTAGTAGTAGTGGAGGTGGGAGGCTATGCCTGGCAACTAGGCCACTTTTGACTCTTTTGCCGACTCCGTATTAGTACCGACACTTATGAGAATCCATTTGGACTTTAGAATTTGCATGCTTGTGTGTACAATTTGGAAATTTGGTTGGGATTAAATAAAATAAGTCCACTGCACTTCAAAAAACCAATAAAGTCTTATAAAAAGGCGACACATGAGATACATGTTTCTGAGGTTATATTTCATAAATTGTGACTTTTTAAGTTTTCATCAAACAAACCCATATCGTTGGTCTAGCCCAGAGTTCCCCAAACTTTTTTGTGTCGTAGACCCCTTGCCATGTTTTTCCGTGTTGGGTAGACCCCCTACTTACCTGATATTGATTTCCTGTAAATTTCTAACTGTAGTGAAGTTTAGTGTTTAAAACTTAAAGTAAAAACACATGTTAATTTATACATTTATTAATTGAATTTAAATTAAAACTACTCAAAATAAAATTTTGTATCTGTTATGTAAAATATACGTAACATTAAATAAACAGGTGTCTGACCAATAAGTGCCCGCATTGGGAATAAGTGCTCGCATTGAAAAAAAAAATAAAAAGGATAAAATAAAAAAAAAGTGAAAAATAATAAAAAAAAGTTTTTTACTTAAAATAGTACAATAAGCGAGTTCGTTTATTAATTATAACATAAACGTATGTTCTACAATAATTTCACTGTTAGTTTGATTAAATTCCGCTTCTTATACGTTTAAGTTATCTAAAAATAGGCAAAAAATTAACGAATTTTAATGTGTACCTATCCTGGAATTTTCAGAATAATTTAAAAAAAAATATTTTCTATAAAGGGGGGTTCTTTAAAAAAATCAATGCGGGCACTTATTCCCAATGCGGGCATTTATTGGTCAGACACCAATAAACATAAAATAAACTATAAATAAAATAACATAAGCAATAAGTCAATATTTTTAGTGAGAAGGATGAACCTGTTGCTTTAATAATAAATTATCAACATTTGGCGTCAATTTTGTAAGGGTTAATCTTAAATCTCCTCGGCTAATGATGTCCAGTCTGTTTCTTTTTTTCGTTAGGAGATTGGTAACAGCGCTGAACCCCCTTTCCACTAGGTATGACGATGGAAAGGAAATTAAAAATTTCCTCGCTATATTCCATAATACGGGATAAGTAACGGGTATGTTGTTTTGCAGCCAGAATTGCTGATATCCGTATTTAAACTGAACCTTAAGTTCTTCGTTTGTACTAAGTTCAGCCAGTTCCTCTTGTATTATGACATTCGTTTCTTCTATGTCACCATATGGATTAATTATCCACGGTGGTATTACCATAGTCAAAATATCCTCACACCTAGATTCAAAATCTGAATAGAGGGCATTTAAATGTTGAACGTAAGTTGAAACGTCGTCTTCCTGGCAGCTTGTCTGTGACAAATTGGGGAACTGAGAAAATTCGCCCCGTCCAATATTTTGCTTCATTAGTTTAACTCTGGCAAGAAACTCTGATAAGATGGACTTTGTTTTAATCAAATTTAAACTGTCGCCTTGTAATTGCAAATTATTAACCATATTAAATTTTGTAAACAAATCTGTTAAATATTCGATGTCTGTTTTCCTCGTCATTAAATTTTCTTTTAAAATTTTATCTTTAGTATCCAGAAATTCTAAAATAGTCTCAAAAAGTGCAAAAAATCTTGTCAAACATAAGCCTTTCGACAGCCAGCGTACTTCAGTGTGAAGAAGTAATTGATGAAAGTGTTCGTCATTTTCTTCACACAACTGCGCAAATAACCGCGTATTGAACGCGTTGCTTCGGATTCGGTTTACTGCATCAATGACTAAATGAAGTGATTAATGCCATCTAACACTCAAATTTTTAGCAACTAAATGTTGTCGATGGATGACGCAATGTATTGCTAACACCCCTGACACATTTTGTTTTAAATAGCTTATGAATCCACGATAACGTCCAACCATGGCAGGTGCTCCATCTGTAGCTACTGATATTATATTTGATAAAGGAATTGCTTTTTCAATCAAGTAATCCTTCAAAACATGAAATATTAATTCACCTTTAGTGTCGGTTATCAAAGTTCTTGCGAAGAGCAGTTCTTCGTAGATTTTTTGATTCATAATAAAACGAACATATGCCAATAATAATGCTGCATTATCAGGTAAAGTTGACTCGTCCAGTTGTATAGAGAAATGGGTCGTTTGCAAATAATTACATAAGAAGCTCTCAATATCAGAACTCATTTCATCAATACGTCTTTCAACAGTATTGTTGCTTAAGTGAATTCTTTTAATGATATCAGATGCAGGTTTGTGTAAAACCGTTTTTAAAACCTCTTCAACGGCTGGCAAAATTAACTTCTCGCCGATAGTATGCGGTTTTCCGGATTTTGCTAAAAGTAACGAGATATTGTAAGACGCCCGCAAACCATCATCATTTCTTTGTGACGTCGAAGCGAACATTCTGTCTAGTGTAGGTCTCTTCTGAAATTTATCTTTGAGTGTTTGAAAGTATTTCAAATCTTTCTCTGTTTTATCAGGCTGGCATCTTCTCAGATGATCTTGCAGTTTAGATGGTTTCATAGCGTCATTGCCCAAAACTTTGTTGCATAAAAGGCACATAGGCGATTGTTTGTCCGGCAATGATAGAATGCAGCCAAATTTCAAATAATCAACACTGTACTGTCTACATTTCTTTTTAGATTCGGACATGGCATCAGTCATCTGTGGGCAAAATTAAATTATTTAAATAAGACAGAAAATCCAGCAGCTGTATATTAAAAATATTTTTTGATTTTTCCGAAAACATTCCATAATTCGAACATCTTCTTGCAACAATTAGCTCGAATTACGGAGATTGCACTGTAATTATATTACCGATTGCTAAAACTTTCAAAAAGAAACTATTGAGGAGTACTCGTGTAATTTTGCATGATTGAATATTTAATTACTAATAACTAAAGTCATGATTGGCGTAATTTATCTATCTTTGCTAACTACGAGTACAAAACTAAAATTTAATAAAAAATAATGTACTTACTTTTCTCCAGCACTCTCAAACGAAATAACACTGACTCACTATAATTTGTGTGATATACTATCTGTTTATATTTTTTAAAATATTTTCTTAGCACTTTCCTTTTCAAGATTCAGGAAACGAATAAACGTATTTGTCCCACATTCGTATTTATAGAGTGACGAATTGAACAAGTCAGTGCAAGGTAGCGAAGCTCTGAGACTGCGACTCTCAGGTTTTTACAAGTTCAAAATGTATTGCGACCACAAAGCGAATACCAACATCCTACAACTTACACAATTTTATAAACATATATAATAAATTTTTTACTTCATAGGTACTTTTGTAATAATGTATATGTTTTGATATTATAAGATAGTATGTACTATAAGTGTATGTGTTGAGATCCACTATCCACTATCGTGGACCCCCATATTCATTTCATGGACCCCCAAATGTTTTTTCGCTGACGTAGACCCCTTGCAGGTTGTCATAGACCCCTAGGGGTCGATATAGACCACTTTGGGAACCAATGGTCTAGCCAATTGTCCACACAAATGCACACCACTAAAAAAAATATTCACAAAAAACATAGATAAGGGCACAGAAAAATCAAAAATCGCCACCAACGTCCCACCGAAATCAACGCTATCATTTCTTTACCCGTAATCTGGACCTAAAAATGCATTTCTGGCTTACCAGAAATAATTCCAGGAATTATTCGACGGATATTTTTCGTTTTGAAATGTATTAGGGGCTTTAGAGAGCCGGATAATGTTGTATACAGAGTGTTGAGCGTATTTGCGTATGCATGTTTAAGAAAATTGAAAGATGTATAGTAGGGAATAATGTGATAAAATTACATTTATATAATTTATATGGTTCACAAAGCGCAATTATAGCAAAAATTCTAATAATAAAGATTCGATAAATTTGATGTATTTTTTCTAGCGTAAGACAAATAATTTTAGCAGCAGAAATTTATTTCAAAATTATAATTATTCTTAATGAAATGATTGACGATGTAACATTATTTCTGCTTTGTGATGTTAGCTTATATCAGTAACCCACGACGATAGATCGATTTTGATAAAATTTGGGGAGTAATGTGCTTTGGAGCGATACTGAGTATCACTGTGTTTTTGGAATTGACCAAACGCGATTCAAGAGTAAGTGGAACAAAGCAAGAAACTGAAACATTGTAAACCACCTTCAAAAATTTGGAATATTTCAAGTCCTGTTTTTTGTAGTCAAGTTTTTAACCAAAACCTATGGACCTTTCATTTGAAAATCAAAATGCGTTCAAGGACATGGCCATCCGTAAGGGGGCGGCACTGATATTGTGATATTCCGTCCTTTTTTTAATTCTCACTTGCCGCTCTTCAAGTTCTTCCAGTTTTGGGGCAGGTACACTTTCACAGAATATTATCTCCTGGTGACGATCAAACCCCCCATCGAGGAAAATTCCTGCGGGCGCCCAAGCAATGTACCTATCCCATAAATTTCATAAAAACTTGTTTTGAAATAGAACTGTTTCCAACAATTAAAGAGAACATTTGCAATGGTTATCCTAGATCACATCATAAATCATCATCTTTTTTTTCAAAATTTATCGCTGTATGGATATTGTCTACAGAAACTATATATACTAAGTGACATATAAATCCGAACACCCAGTTTAAATGGTTTTATTTTAATAAAAGTTGGTGAATGTACTTATCTTACTGTAAATAACAAGTGAAAAAATTGTCAGCCTTATCAGTTGGACATTCCGGTTTTTATACTGCTTTTTTTAATTCACTAACGCTCTAAAAATGAATATTTCAGCCGCAGTAAAGAATCAACGTTGGCGGATTTTGGTTCTTGACATCCTTTACGATCGGTTACGATGCCTAGAGTACGGAGACCTGTACGATTTCGTCAACTTAGTGTGCTTGATAGGGGCCGTATAGTGGGACTTCGGGAAGCTGGACTTTCTTTTCGGGCAATTGCAGTTAGAGTGCAAAGAAGTGTAGACACTGCGGTTAGG